ACTTTACACCGATTTAGTCTCCTTCTCCACGTGATGTATTATCGCTTAATTCCTTTTTTCTGAATATAATTGGTGTTTTTGGATACCTTTAGTGGAACTTGCTAGGGTTTAATAAGAGGGTTTATGTATTAGCTAAATTTGGATTTTTTTTTTTGCTTTTTTAGATTTGTAAATGGGTGTCAGAAAGAAAATGCATTGACAAATGGTAAAGATGGAAAGAAAGTTTAGGGTTTGTTTGGAGCTGGATTTGTAAATATTGTTGTTTTGTTTGGTTTTGAAGGCAAATGAATAAGAAATTGACTTGTTACGAAAGATGAGGAAATATTGCTTGAGATTAAGCTTGAATTATCCGAGTTAGCATTTCTTGCCCCTTACCACAAGGGGCAAATGAGGGAAAAAAATACAATTTATCTTGCTCTCCATTGAAAACTGTGCATTCTTTAGCGTCTGTTATTGGTTTAAGTACCTTGTGTAAGTATTCAATTTTGTCCATGTTGGGCTCTATTTTTCAGGATCATCCAATGCTTGCAAGGGAATACGAAAGGGTTAGAGCAGGGAAGCCTCCAGTCCAAATGGACACGTCAAGATATGGACTTGAAATTCCGCTAGCGAACAAACGGAATGATGAAACTGCATGGAAGCAAGCACTTCAAAAAGCTCAACGCTTACTGCAGCATCAAGTTATTAGGTATGTTCTTTATACTCAGACTTGCAAAATGATATTGCTTTTCTTTTATTGGACAAAAGTTCGAGCTTCATCAGGAATAAAGAAAAAATGGGCAGAAGGGGGAATCCCTAAACTAAGAAGATCTGTGCGTTTCAACTGAGACAGGGTGGATTTGGCTTCGATTTATGTTGTGGCAACTATTAGCAGGCAAACATTCAAAAGCCCAACTTTTATGCTTAAGTTGGCAGTGATCTCAATGAGCTTTGAAGATATTCTCTTTCCATTTTTTGTACGAAGTAAATAACATACTAAACTATTTAAGGAACAACTTTGCAAATCTCTTTTTGTTGGGAATTTGAAATTGGTAGACTACCAAGGTTGCAACATTAGTAACCCCAATACAAAATGATAAAAGAAAAAAAAAAAGGCAAATAGTAGTGCCCTTGATGCATCACTTATTCTGTATCACCTTGTCTTTATTGAACATTTTCCTTCTGTGGCTTTGGTTGGTAACTAACTTGTTTCTCCTTTTAGTTGTTTAACATCCAACATTTAATTGTAGTTACTGGGTGGAATGGTTTGCTTTTTCATTAGATTATCATAATAAATAGAAGTACAGCTATATAGTCATACCTCTCATTTCTTTTTTCCTTTACTACCACATCTTAAAGTTTATTTTCTTCCTGCAAAATCTTGCGTTGATGTGCTTATCAATGTTTACTGTTGTAGGCTAGAAAATTTAGAACAAATGTCGAAGCACGGTCCAGAGGTGTGGAAGATATACAATAAAAAATTGGAGGCATTGGTATCCAGGTTTAGTTCTAACAACTGCATTTTCTTCTTTAAATTTCAACATAGTTCTACCTAATTGTCCTTGCTCAGAGAGAGAGACAGATATTTGTATTCATTTATAAATTTGTATTTTTTCCAGTGCTATAACATTGTCTAAAGCTTTACGTAGAATATTTACTTTTTCGGATAGTTTGCAGTGCCTTATATTTATGGAAATGCGTAGTAGTATTCAAGTAAAAGAACGAAATCTAACTGAGTTTGACAAAAATCCTTCTCCATATTATAGGATGTTATCTAAATGTTCATGCCTCTTATCATGTTATTGCTGACATAGATGACAAAGTGCATGTAAGACTAATGCTAAATTATTTATCTTAACTCCTCCACATGCCCCCATAACTGTTGATTGCATATGAATCCATAAGCTGGTTATAGAAAATAATTAATTAGATATTTCTAAGGGTAGGTTCAAAGAGTTCTTGAATGTATGACTTTTTGGTAATTCAGTCTTTGTTATATGGTTTATATCCTTAATCATCTTTGTAATACAAAAGACAGAAGTAACAAATCTAAACGTGTTCAATGATGTGTAAACTGCATCTACTTGGTGAGGTTGTGTTGTGGCCAAATAGCAAGGTATGGGAACATGGGAAGTATGGGATTCTGATGTAAGTTGATATTGCTTTGGGCTCTCCCACTTCAACATCTAGCTTTTGAGGCTCCTCTCCATAATTGCATCATCTTAGAAGGCCAAAAAGTTCTGGTCACCTGTAAATCAAGTTTCGTTGGCACCGGTGTTCCTACACTTATAAAAATAATCAGTTACAGTTTGCATTTTATAGAAATATTCGTAATCAATGAGACAGTTCCTAGTATTCTATGGACAGTTATAAGTCTCCTCATTTCAGTCTTCAGTTACTCCCATCTTCAGTTTAAGTTCTATTTGTTTCATTCTTTTAATGTTTTTAGTAGAAGGAGCAATAGGCTCTAAGTACTTGAATTATTTTTTCAGGGCTCAATTACAAGCTGTGGAACTGAATGAAAAAATTGAAACTGTAAACCGTGAAAGAAAATATCATCAGGTCAGAGAACGTACCTTATTGTCGATTTATATTCCCAAGTTGGCAGACTTAATGATCACTAGGTAGTTATGTTCCTTCTGTCATTTATCAGCAAAACACAGCTTATGAACTCAACGCTTTATCTTCACAATGGAGGGAGCTTTGCATTAAAAATATAGAAATTCAAGCTGCACGTGCTGAAATTGAAAATCAACTTGAACTGATGAAGAAGGAAGCTGGGGAGAGGTGATATCTGATAATGCTACTTCTGATTTGCATTCTTCTATGAATTTTTTTCCCAGTTTCTTAGTTGATGTAGTTTTTTTTTTTTTCCATTCAGGGGCTTGAATTTGGATGCTAGCATGGAGAATGGCTTTATTACACATGCAGAATAAGGTATGACCCGTAGTCTTGCACTAAGGTGAAATAAAAGAATAGACCAAACAAAATATCTGGAAAATTTGATAGGAGGTATAAATCATTCAGATAAATGTAGTTGAACCAGAGGAGGAAAAACAAAGAGTGTGTAAGACTGGAAGGAAACTTTTTGATGCGTATTCAGTGATTGATAGAGCTATTGTATGTAAACGAGAAAGGTGAGGTACTCATGAAGATCTATCTTGGTTTTTGCCTTCTTTCAGGTTTTGGGATGATTGTTATTCAAAGGGGCAGGGAAGGTTTTGATGTCCAGGGCAGTGCTGGATGTCATTGCTGTTCTTACATATAGCACTAGGAGCTGCAAGCCATCTAGTCTAGCACATATGTGCGAAGGCTCTTCATGCTGCGCCATGAATTTAATTGAGTTAATTGTATCCTTAGCAACTTGTTTCTAGTACAATTGACTGATTTTCCTAATTTTTTCGCCCCCCGATTCACACGCTAAAACACTCACAGATACAAATGCACACTCACTTTTTAAGCTCGTTTGAAATACTTTATTTTTACACATACAAACACACTAAAATACACATGTATGATATGCGAGGAGATGAGGGGGTTTTGGCATGGGTTAGGTGTCAGAAATGGATTTAGCGTAGTGTGTATTTTGCAGTAAAATGAAGAAGGAATCGTGTTATGAAAAAGTAAGGGTAGTTGCCTTGATCAATTAAGATCTCTTTAATGTCCAACTCTGCGCTGGTCTACTAGAACTGAGAATGGGAATGGTGTACTAGTACAACAAGAAGTGGAAAGGCATACATATGACATGGTGCATGCAAACTTTCTCGAATTGTTATTTTTTTCCAAAAAAATTTTTATGTTTTATTGAACACATTTTTTAATTATTTTATTATTATATATATTAAATTGTTACAATATATTTTTTTTTTATAAAATTTTCAAAAAATAACAATCCAAATGGGCTTATATTTGATTGCATGACAAAAGAAGAAGTGGCGAAAAATATTATGGAAGTAAAAGGAGTGGAATGCTCTAAATATAGGAAAATAATAAAACATCAACGCATGCAAGTAAGTATTATAGCTAAATAGCTCATATAATTTTGTTAAGTATCCATACATGGAGGCCTGCTTTCGCTCATGTGTCATGCTGTTTCATGAACAATGAAATGTTTATGTATCTCGTATCCTATTCTTTGTAATTTGTTTATTTATTTTTTAACTTAAGTTGGGTAATGGATGCCCAACACAAATATCCAAACCGTCCAAAATATATGTGAATTTTTTATTACCCAATCCAAAATTGACCCAATACCCAACTTACCCAACCCAATCTCTCAAATTAGTGAATGGATTGGATGGATTGTTGGATTTTTAGGCATAATTGTCAGGTCTATATATGACGTACGATCTTACTAAAAATGATTTATCTTGGTGTTGTATTTAAACTCTCACAGGTTGAAATTTATATAGTTCAAATCGGTGGTGTAATTCTTATGAGTTTTGGCATAAACTCTGTAAAAATTTACATTTGTTAATTTGTACAACTAATTTGATGATTACATCCAAATGGCAACGGGGCGTGGATTGTACAATCATTTTGTGCTTTCTCGGTCACTTTCAACCAGTGTATATACATAAATTCTCCGGCAAATGGCAACGCGTTTTCCCCCCCCTTGTTCTGTGTTTTAAAAACCCCTTACCTCCCCCAACCATCGCTCTATCCCCGGCTCTTCCCGCCCTGCACCACTGCCCAACAGGTGGCTCACCATAATTTCTTGGTTGGGAGTGCAGGCATAGCAACCGGTGTACATAATCGTCATCGTCATCTTCTTGGTTGGGAGTGTATTATTCTTCATTGGAGAACTTTATTTTTATTGCAATTGACTACTATTTTTAATTTGTCTTTCTAGTGTCTTTACGTTTAATTTGGAATCCTTCATAGTTTCTTGCAATTAGTGTAATATTGTTGTCTGGCAAATTTCATATGGCCAATATCGCTGAGCAACAAGCACTCCACCCATTCCTGTTATCATTAAAAAAAAATACTTTCCATTGCAACTTTTTATGCACACAATGCCATGGGACAAAGAAAACTTTCCATTTGCAGAAGCCATGCGTTGGAAGTTCTGAACAAAAAAGGAAGAAATAAATACTTACAAAGAGATTTGAGATTTTATCTCTGATTTTCTGATACCCGAGGAAGAGTTGAAAGAGAACATTCATCTAACCATATGTGCCCGCAGCACAAAAGAAAGCACCAACTTGGTTGTGTCGGCCTGTTTCAGAGTATTCCTCCAGTTGAAGCCTCAGAATCTCTTTTCGAGTAAATTATCTTCCATGCTAGTGTATTAAAGAAGCAGATTTCACATGTGAACTTAAGTGTCTTACCATAAACACGTTTCTTAAAAAGGCTTCTTCCATATCTGCTGCTCATACTGTGTGTCCACATCTTTTGGGCCTTCATGGTTGCACTTCTTGCACACAATATTGCCTTTGAAATTTAAGAAATTACACCTATCGAAAGCAGCAAGGAAACAAATACAAATTTAATTAGGCAATGCTAAGCTAAAATTTCATCCCACACAATTGTAGAGACAGACTTACGAGGTGCACTCCCAGTCTCCAGGTCTTAGCTGCCTCTTTGGTCGTGAATCATGGCAGCGTAAGCATTAGCATTGCTGGCAAATTCATGAAACCGCATCTACATGTCCAGCACAAGAATCTAGCCTCAAGTTTGTGCAGCTGGTCTCTGATGAGCAAGAATAGGAAAACGCTTTCTAGTTTTACAAAACAGATGATGTTTTTACGGGCTGCTTTCGAGTAAGCTAGTAAAGCTGTTTCCTGTTCTGTTTGCTTGTGAGTACTTATTTTACTTGTACACAGTCATGTTTTGTTTTTGATA